AAAGAACGGACTCAACGCACAGGTTACATGTTTATTGTAGTCCCGTTGTTTGAGAAACTGTACGGTGACACTGGTAACCACTGTCTGTCACCAGTGAAATGAAACCATTACAAGGTGATCTCAATCTCCTCCTCTTCTCATGTGTGTGAAGTAAACTGCTTCCTTAACTGTACACAACATTTGTCTGGCAGGAAACTCCCACACCAAACAGGTCAGTTATCAGAGGCTGGCATCAAGTCCGCCACTGGCGCGTTACCTATCGTAAAACCTCCTCGCTGCTTTTCAACGATAAACCGCTGATGAGGGACTCCTGTTTGGGCACCGAGTGGTCAGATGACTGTGCTAGACACACAATCACTGCCTGCATCACTCAGAGTTAATGTACAAGTCCACTTGTCTCAGAGCAATGAAATATATCTTACATTTTAGGCATTTAGCCCATTATGCTTTTCAGAGTTGCTTAAGGGAAGCAAGAGAAAAGGTTTGAATTTCTGATGTGGCATTTTTAGATTTAATTTAAACTGAGTTTGCAAGGAAAACCCTACTTTAACTGTGCTACAATGAGGATTAAATTGTAGAGGAGGGAAGTGTGTTGTCAGAGCCGAGTAAAGCTGCAGCTGAAAAATACAGTATCCAACAAAGGACTGATGGAAACGGACATGATCAGTTCTGTGAAGAGCTCTGGCTGAAATGAAAGACACGAGGGAAATCCCTCCTAAACACCAAGCAGACAACAATAGTCTGGCACATCTCCCCTGCTCTTCTGCCTTCCTCCTCTACTCACATCTGATCAAGTGAAGGAAGTATAACATTATCACCTTCTGGCCACTGTGGCTGAAATGCCTTCTGTACAATGAATACTACTTTTCCGCTCTACCCAGATTTACTCAGCTGGTCTGATGACTCAAACTACTATCATATGAGCCTGCTAACCTTTCAGGGAATGTTTTCCGGGGCGATACTGGAAGATCCTGTCCTAAAATGGCTGGTGCCCACATATACACTTCTCAGCCATAACATTATGACCACTGACAGGTGAAGTGAATATCATTGATTATCACGTTGCAGCACCTGTTTAATGCACTTGTCATTTTGGAGACTGTTTCAAGACGGCACATACTGTCCATCAACAACTATGGGCAGCAAACAGGCCCTGAAGCAGCTGCTTTGTCAGAAATGTAATAGAAGAAGAGCACTGATAGCGTCATGGCGTTCACAGTATACCAGTGCATAACTCAAATACTAATGTGCTGGAATAATTGTTATTTGGTTAATCATTTAAAAGAAAAATCTTTACACAACAAAAGGTTATCAGTGCAGTCATGTGCATGGAAATTATGTGAGGTTAGCCATCAGTTATGGGTCTGGGTCAAGGAGATTTTAAAAAGAGATAGTGACAAAGGAAAACAGGGCATTGTAGAAGTAGACAGGTTGTTGATGCAGAAGTGTTTGAGTTGAATAAAGCCAACAATGCAAAGACCTTTAAACCACCCAGCAGTAAAATTTTAATGCGTGGTGTTATCACTCTCAAGCTGCTGCCTGTTTTCCATTCAGAACTGCTCCCCCCGGACTAAGCCTCACCAGGAAGAGCAGCAAAGCTAATATATGAAGACTGTTTACATTCCTTTTACTCAAATCTACATGGGATGTGGCCTTAAGCAAAGTCTGAGTTAGTTATTAATCATCTATTCAGCTTTAAGGTGCTACATCAGCCATTTGTGTCTCCATCTTTGGTGCAGTGTACTCAGCTGGCTGCTGTGGTTTAGCTCCACTAAACTTCACTAAAGTTACATTTGTATACACTCCAAAACTGGACAACATGCACAGTTAGTAAGGAATGAGCAGCTTCAAGGACCAGATTAGGGTTAAAGAGAGTTTGTCACTGTAGCTCAGAGAACCAGTGTGTGCTGACACACACACACACACACACACACACACACACACACACACTGTCCAGGCCCGTCAGGGTCGTGCAGCATATTGAAGTATTGGGTTGCAGTTACTGCTAATCTGCAGAAGAAACATTCCTTCATGTGCATACTCGCCCCTCTTTCACTCTCCTCTTCCTCCATACTTGTCCACTACGACTCTGTGGTGTTTTCCCTACTTTTTCAAATCATCATTCCTCTTCTGCTCTGTTCTTGTAACCGTCAGTCATCTTCCACTCCCTGGCTTTTTCCTCCACAGACTTCAGATTTTTGGCATTGCAGTTTCACTTGCTCACCTTTACACTTTACACACAACTTTATAAAATAAGTTTCACCCTGTGAAGAGGACAACGTCACACACACACCAGAGGCTGGTGCAACTTGTGCAGTTAGAAAAAAAAAGCTATATATTTTGATCTTTGAACTACAGATTTGACAATAAAACCTTAAAACAGAATTGATCTGATCAGGTTGAGACCTCCCATTTTCAGTCACTCTGGCATTGTTGCTCTTGCTCAGTTTTAATTTGCCAAATACGTTAGTTTATGACCAAGTTCTTGCTTAGTTAAAAACTTTGCCATTAGCCTTAGTCGCACTTTGGCAGTGTAGATTTTGAAAGTAGTAGTGTATGCCTTATGTTTTTGGCCAGACACAGTGTGGCATGAAGAAATCAGACCATTTCTTGTCTGTCTGTTGCTCTAAACAGGGTGAAAGATGAGTTTGGGGCTTATTGTCATTGTTATTGCAGCTGGAAGGAGCTTTTAGACTTGTGGTGTTACACACTGCCCTAAAGCCCATACATGCACACTCACTTAAAGTGCCCTAATGTCGGTTTAAGCTACGTGCACACATGTAGTGAACTTGAACTGGGAGGCTTGTGGCATTAAAGGGTACAGGCTGATTTACTGGAAACAAAAGCAGTGTACTTAAGAGCAGGAGTGAATCTATCACAGCACACCACCATGTGTCAACTGCTATACCCCTCATTAAGGGTAAAGCCCACAAACATGACTTACTTCCTGTGCCAGAAAGAGCCAGAAGCGTTTGCTGCACAAGGCAAGAGGTTGTCATTGCCCTGCTCGCTAGGTCGGATCTGCAGCTTATATGGCTTTAAAACTGTTAAATGCCTTGTGATTAGCTGAGTAGTTTTGTGATTAGTGCTATGATTTGAGCCGAGACTACGGTTATATCAGGGTTTCATTTATTCAGGTTTTTTTAATATACAAATCTCCTGCAGGATGATGTTTGGCATCACTGTGTTAGTACAGGAACTAAACATTTGCACCTCAAATCATACTTGTTCATTTATGAGAGCTAAAATGATACAATGGATTTCAACAATGGAGACAGATGTCCAGCAAACTAGAGAACTAAAGGTATGTCACCCTAAATCTATAGCTTACAGACAGTTAAGAATGAAATTCTTGTTTGAGCTTTTGTTCGCCAGTTTGGGGGAAACTACTTTGATAGCTTGTTAAGCTCCACGATGTTTATTTTACTACTTTTCATTCCTCATCAGCGAGTATAAGATATGCACAAGTGAGAGGTCATGCTTGTGTTCACACAGACACACACACACACGCCAAACCCCAGAATGATCATGGCCAAGTTGCAGGTTGAGTTGTTTGGTGCAAGAGAAAGAGGCTGCTGCCAAGAATAACACCACATTTACAAGCTGAAAGGCCATTAAAAATCATGGTGAAATTAATCAAGTTTAGAACTTTGTGCCATTTTAGTAAATTAATCATGGAGATGTATATGAGTAGGGATTTTGTGCCTTCCTTTGGGACATTTAAACAAGCCACATCACTAGGAATGAGTGGTTAAACCTGTGACCTTTGGGTTGTAAGTGGCCAGACATACTGAAGTTCAGAAAAAGGAATGAAAAATTCAGGAAAGTAAGAAAATACGAGCAGTGAGAGGTTTATATGCAGAGAGAGGAATGGGGAGAGGACTAAGTAAAACGATTTATGAATAAAGAGTTGAGAGGGAAGCAGAGACGATGTGAAAATATACCATATATGAAGAAGTGCAACTCAAGCTCAACTGACAAAGTGGAAAAAAATAACAAGCAGCAGATGGTACAGAAAGCATCAGCTTGTGAGTGTGTGAGGAGAGGACAATCGCATCTGTGTACATACAGTATATTACAAGGCTCGACTTAGCCTATATCTGGGGAAGACGAAACCTGAGAAAAATGGCAATGTAGAGTAAAGACAATGAGAGTGATGCTCATAGACACTAATCCATAAAAAAGGAGCTATTAAGGCTCCAAAAAGTTGAAAGACATGCTAATGCACTGTTTTTCCAGCTTTCATGTACATTTCCTTGTACAGTATCTGCCAAAATGGTTGGTTGAATAATAATAAAGCCATAATGACTCAAGACACTTGTGGTAAAGAAACACTATCAATAGGCAAAAGGACACCTGCCTAATATGGTCACTCTTATTCTCCATATTCTAATTTTACTACAGCTGTCATTCTGTTTTCATGTTGCTGAAGTTTCTACCATGTTTTCCTGTTTAAAGAAAGTGTTTGTCAAGTTTGGTCTTATCTGAAGTAGGTGGTCTGGTGTTGTCTTAGCAGAGTGCTGTAAAGCCCCTGTATCAAATTTGTGATTTGGAGGCTAAGAACATAAAATTGACTTGCCATAACTATAAGTTGAATCAATACAGGACAGAAAACAGTACAACCAGTCCTCTCACACCTATTCAGTCTACACAAAACCCCGACAACAAAACTAGCAGCATTGCCTACTTTTACTTCACAGCAAAGAAACAGAACGGCAGGTTAATGATCAACTTCACACTCCTAGAAGTCAAATCAGGACTTCAGGCAGGCCGAGACAAGTGCTTTGAATAACATCAAGCAAGGCCAACATATCTAGTCAACATTTATCAACTCCAGAAATGTGGCACTTTCATTTATACTGGAACACCTGCCGTTCTGTCCATCTACATACAAACATACACACGATACTCTACAAAACTCAACACACTCTCCTGTGTTGTAGCAGAGGAAACTGGGATTACATCTCTAACTCCTGTATGCTTTCACTTTTTTTTTTTAGGTGACAGAGAACATCATCTCCAAACAGACCTTCATCGGTGAGCACCTGACACACACACACACACACACACACACACACACACACACACTTCAATTTGAAGCTTTGTTTCTGACATTCCTGCATTTCCTTTCTCCACCAGAGGCCAGAACCATGCCTCGTTCTTTCAACAACTCAGGGTCAAAGTTCATGACCTCGGTGGCCCAGAGGCCATCTGCCCACTTGACCCTCAGAGACACCAACTCTCAAGGTGAGACATGTGTGTCAGTGCCTGGTTACAGTCACTGAATACCATATTTTTGTCTGTGCTAAGCAATAAAACCGTACAACAATGCTAAACAGTATTTATCGCTTGCTCATACTGCATGTCAGTATTTTAATGAATGTAAACATCTGAATGCAAAGTACAACATCACGCAAGACATTCTGATTGGAATGTTTGTTTTTTTAATGTGTGTGTTATCCTGACCATATCATTTAATCTGAAACTGGCATGCAAGCTGAAGGGTGTTGACAATCTGGCAAAGGCTGCCTAATGTAATTTCCATTGAACTGACAAAGGGAAGGGAACGTGGTATATGTGTGTATGAGGATTAGAGAAGTAGGAAGAGAGGGCGAGGTTCACACATTCAGGCTGAATTTCTCATAAGGAAGTCAAGCAGTGAGAGAAACTATGAGGGCTGATTTTCTCTCCAACAAACAAATAAAGGAAACCGTGTTATCAAACTACGTTTCTACACACACATCTTAAAATGTCACGTGACAGGAGACAACTATGATATAATCAATTAACATAAAAACAGCAGCAACACCAATTGCAGCAGTGAATTTATGTGCAGTAGTTACAGTACATTTTGTAGTTCCTGGAAACCACCACCTTGAAAGATTCCTGGCCAGAACTGAATTGTAGCTGATGTGGTTACTGTGTGAGACATACACTGTATTCATTTTTAAGGCAGAGATAAATCAGTTAAAGTCCTATTAAATAGGACAGAGCAAGCAAAGATCCAACAGGAATCAGTGTGTAAGGTATATTAAACCACTGCAGTGGGACTTCTGCTCCATGTTAGTGTCACAGACCACAGAGTAAATCATTTACAAGTACTGGGAAACGGTTTAGTTATCTGTAATACTGTTACTGTAAGTATCCATTGCTGAAGTGAGATAAACTCCAGAATGCCCTTCCCAGCTTCACATGACCATTTCTTGCCTACACTGCATCCATTATTATTATGTACAAAGACACCAGCAGTCTGTTTGTTGCAGTCTTGCTTAGCTTTTAAATTCAACTGATTAACTCACTGTAGTTGTTGCAAGGCATTTGGCTGCACCACCAAGTCAAAAACTGGGATTTTCCATTTTTTCCTTGGAACCCTCACTTCCCTATGCATGCAGTCCTTGTTGTTAACCTTACTTTTGGCTTTGTCTTACAAATAAAAGACACCAGTTTCACCACATTAAGCTAGTTTCCCCCATTACAAAAGCAGACCGTGTGTTAGCATTCATTAACCGTCAACAGCAACACTTGCATAAAAGCAGAAGTGCAGTCACTAGCCATGATGCCATCCACTTTTTCCAACCCTAAACTACCTGAGCTTGTTTTCTGCTTATTTGTCCTCTGGCATCCTTACTTTTCTTTCACCTCACTTGTCCTTCACACCCACAGGGTTCCCTCCCTACCCAATCCCCACGGCAGGTCTTCACCAGTCCTGTCGCCATGTGGTTCGCTCATGGGCCAATCAGAGTTTTGGAGCTCACCTGCACAACATGACCCTGTCAAATGGGAAGCTGCGAGTGCCTCAGGACGGGCGCTACTACTTGTACTCGCAGGTATTACACTGCCCTTTCAGTACAATCATACAAGTCTTCTGAATCTCTCTTTGCAAGGATGCATAGCTTTTAAGAACAACTTAAAAACTCAAAATAATAGTTTACAGCAATATATGGAGAAACAATACAAATCCTCCGCATTAGAAAGTCATTTTTTCTTAGTACTACAAGTGGAACAATGCCAATGCTTGGCTTTATCTTGACTGTCCTTTCCACCTTTGTTTCTCTTATTTCTAGGTGTATTTCCGTTATCCGTCCCCTGCAGCCAGTGATGGAGACCAGCGCAGTGTCAGCCATCAGCTGGTGCAGTGTGTCTACAAGAAGACCTCCTACCCGAGCCCCATACAGGTATATAGAATCTATGTTCCCCTGAAATACAGCAGTCAAGCTGTACACAGGTGTACACTGTTGATACAAACTTTCTTACCTTAATTTTCATTCCTGTCCAGCTCCTGAAGGGGGTGGGCACCAAGTGCTGGGCTCCGGATGCTGAGTACGCCCTCCACTCCGTCTACCAGGGAGGACTGTTTGAACTGAGGGCTGGTGATGAGCTTTTTGTCTCCGTCTCTTCACCAAACATGGTCAATGCCGATGATTCCTCCAGCTACTTTGGAGCTTTCCGCCTGGACCTCTGAGAGGAAGAGGTGGAAAAAAAGAAAAAAGCTGAAGACAGTGGGTTTGGGGGCCTTTCGAATATCCATTGATTGGAATAAGGGTCAAGTAGACAGAAGTGTGGGATGTTGGCCTGGATCCTCAGTGTTTACTTGGACATATACGCTGAGGGGTGGAAGGATTAGGGTTTGAAGGCTTCACTTGAGAAACAAATCCTGCAAGAAGATGGGGTGACATGTAAAACACAGGGGATTTGTCCTCCTTACTTTCCATGAAGTGACACACAATCATCAAGATCAAGAGATAAGGAGAAAAGTGCAATTACACTAAAACAAATGTGAGGATATTGATTTTTCTGATGATTTGAGGAAGGGAATTACATTCTGGATGTCAAAAAGACAAACCTGCTAGATGAGAATCACCCCCAAAAATATATCCTGTTGCTTGCATCATAAAATAACACGCAAATCCCAGATTATCTCACATGTCAGGGGCCTTTTAGTGGGAAGCAATCGAACCCTTGGATTTGGACTCCAGACCAAAGAATGTACACACCATAAAAATTCAACCTCTGCATTGAACATGGGAGGAAGAACTGTGAAGTGATAGCAGAAGCAAAATCGAGTGTGTCATGAGAGTGCATATAAGAATGAGATTTAGACGTTGAACTGTGGTGATTTTAAAAATAATTCTTAACTTACGACCACTTGGAGCTTGCTGTGGACTATCTACCTGAAACACTAGAACTGTGGATTTTATCCAAAGGCTTTTTGGAGTCTGATAAGGACTGCCTTTTTGTACTGGATGCTGTACAGTAATAAGACAGAGGAAACAATGTGCCTTTTGAACAAAGGCATTTGCAAGGAGAGAAAGGATGAAAAGTGAGTGCGACATCTTGTAAATGCCAATCATTAACACAGGAAAGGATTAGAACATGAAAGAAAGAGGCTGAGGGTTGTATGTAGTTTGTGCAGTTCGTGTTGATCTATCATGTTCCCTCGTTCTCTTTCTCCTCATGTAAAAGAATTTACCATATCTCTTGTCTTTCTTGTTTAACCTGTGAAGCTGCATTAAGTTGTATTTTAAGGATCAGTTAAGCAATCAACTAGAAAATATGATGCAAGGTTTGTCGCACAAAACATTCACACAGATGGTGTTGGTGAATTTCAGGTCAAAAGATGAGATTAGTCATGTTAAAGTGGGCTGTATTGGGTTCAAAATCTAAAGCTTTTTTCAAGTGTATGTTTCATGAAACAGCTGTTTCAACGGTAGTTTAAGAGCTATACATCATTTTATAGTTAGGACTGGCCCCTTAGTGAAATACAGTAATGAAAATGTTATTGAAACACCTTTTCATTCATAGTCCAGTTTCATCTTAGCTTTCATCCTGCAAATTAACAAAAGCAGATGCTTTGGAGTCTCATCACAAGTAAAAAAAAAAAGTTGGCACTAATATGGAGATCCAATGGAGAAGTAACGGTAAAACAAACATGCCAAAACAACATCTGGATAGTGAAAGAGACTGGCCGAAACACACCCATATGCAGCAAATCTGGACCCTAGCAAACAGTTTGTCAAACGAACACGGAAAGGGCTAATTTTAGGTAAACACAGGCCAGATTCTGTAACAAAAATCACAGCACGACAGGATGTTTTCAGACATAAACCATGCACTGACTTGAACACTCAACCCCTTTAGGCTTTTTCCTCCTGCATGCACATGTGCACACAACCTCACGCCACACATCACCCAGTATCACAGACAAACGCACACATTTATCCACACCGTCTCCCCACCCTGTGCCATCTGGTAGTTGTCAGCAATCAGTCACTGTATGTTCAAAGGACTCGATTCATCTGGACAACTCAGAAAATATTTGAACTTTCCCTGTGTATGTGACAAACTACAGTGTGGCAACATGGTGAGCAAAGAGTGAGCATGGTTTTGGTCATTCAAAGGCCAAAATAAGTCTACAGTAGGTGTCTAAACCAACAAAGACCAGACAGACCACACAGATTATTAATAAAGTACTGCAAATAATTGGCAGTAGCTCTGTTAGGATTTTAACTTTCCATGCAGGAAGCAACTCCCGACTCTTGCTGGTTGGTTAATTAAGCCTACAGAGTGTTAATGTTTTTGATTTGCTGCACCCCGCCGAGTGAATTTGTTCCTCTCTCAGTGTTGTAATACTTGACTTTCTATTAGACTGTAGATAAATAAGCCATGGGGCCTTACTTCTAATTCTATTCACAAACATCAAAACCATAATCCTGCTTGCACAGGCGACAGCTAAATCAAACCAGCGGTGTGTTCAGAGAAATAAACAGCATGTACGATTTGATGTCAAGATTGATAAAGATGTTCACCTCTTTTCTAAAAAAAAGTCAGATCCAGGTTAGCCAGTTAGATTTTTTTTAGACTTACAAGCAGAAATTACCGCACTGGCCAAATGCATTACCTGACCTCACATTAACAGATTCTTTGTTGGTGAAGACCAGGCTAAATGTCAAAAGCCCATGAAGCAAGCAAGAAATCAAGCTGGCTGCAGTGAAAACCTGCTAAAGTATCTTCAGGAAGGATTGCAAAAAAATTTTCAAAACATTAATACGACTCTCTTGAAGTCCATCTGACTTTGTCCAATTACCTTCTGTTCACCGAAATCTGGGGCTATGTATAAAGCTGGCTACAACTGATGGAGATGTAAACAGCTTTAAATTAAATGCCGAGCCTCAGTCCCAGTTTCATTTCAAACATGATGTGCCGAGTACAGCTCAGGGATTTTTCAGACTGTGGTTGAGCTTCAAATTCACATGAAAATGGACATAGAAACAGAAAAACTTTGGAAACACCACACCAACAACTTCCAACCATTCGGGTTGGGTCCAAAGCCAGCCTTTTTGGTAACCACGGAGCCACTGAAGGGCCCAAAGAAAATGAGCCAAGATGATCAAATATGAGTTTCATTTAAACAACTGCTGCTCTGAAACCTTCGTCTCATCGGTAAACAGTTAATTCAAATCAGATCATGTGGACAAACAGCCTAGTTTTATGTATGTGCACTGACTTTGAAACTTAAGAACACTTTGCTAGCGTTTAGCTGCAATTTCAACACAAGGCCAACTTAATTACACCGTCTAAAGAAAAACAGACTAATATTGCTTCACTTGACAGCTCATTTTGAGTAATGCACATATTAAAATATTCAGTTCTCTCTGTAATTATATCTTGTGTTTTTGTTGCATGCGGATTTGCACAAAAATGCTAAAACATGGTTTTGGCTTCTTTTGAACTCCGGATCATTTTGTAGCCTTCCATTCGAAGTTGCCAGACCACAAACCGGACCCATTGTCCATGATTTGCTCTCTATTACAGCTAGAGAAAGACAATGAGCAGCTCCCATACAAGATTCAGGCTTATTTATATTTTGAAAATTGTACGGCTTGCTGAATGTAATTATAGGTTTCCAAGAGAGGTACATCACAGGCCTTGTTTCAATTTGTGAGGCTGTTTGTCCAAATGCAACAGTTTCTCTTTGGAGAGGGTTGAAAAACACCATGAGCTAGCCACTTAAAGATCTGTTTACCATGTCTGCCAGCCACACTGTAGAAATTAAGGGGACCCTTTGGAGGGTTTTTGTAAAACAAATAAATAAATAAATGTAAAATTAAGCGCAACCGTTTCTCACCAAAACACTGCATCCTTGAGCCTAATAAACTTGTTGAATGCAAGCTTTCTGAGAAAACAGTCCAAAGCCAAATTCTGGAAGAATTTGAAACATATTTTTATATCCATGTTACCACAACAAATGTTCATTAAAACTGTGTGAACTAAATACTTACAAGACAGACTGTCTAAAAAACACAGCTCTGTAAATGGTGGTCAAAACCTCTATGGCATATCTTTAATCAACAATTGTCTGAAAACAGATTGTAGTTTTAGCTGCAGGCTACACACATTAGGAGTCAGAGCAACATTGTTTAAATTAAATCTGAACAGGCAGAGCAAAACAACGCCTCTTTCTGCCTAAGGAACTCACTGAAAACGGTCAAGAAGTCAAGGTAAACTAAGAGTTTGTCAGTTAGTTACTAAGCCACTCTGCTAAATTTCTCATGTCATGTATACCATCTTCATGAATCAATAAAATGAACTTATTAGCTATATTCTAATTACAGTTCCTGCTTGGTTTTTGCCCATTACCCAGTTTTCTTTCTGCAAAAGATGTTTAATGGCTCCTCGAGGTGCATCTGGACCGACAAGATAATTTTGCTTTCACGCCAGCTCCAAGAAACATCTATGACATAATTGCCTGAAGTTGCTTTGTCCCCTGAAAAAGGTGAATGGTGGTGAAAGTGGCTAGTGGGTTTTGAAATCCATCCCGCAGCTGTTCTCATTGCACAACATGCTTGTATTATGGCAACAACGCAGTAACATCATGTTGCTGGCCCTGAGACGGTTCCACATATGGACTCACATCCACTTACTATAATATGATCCTGTTGCCAATTTTGTCCGAACATGACAATGAAAGACTGTTTGTAGCAGGATAATCACATTTGGCAAGTTTATTAGCTGCTACAACTGAAGAAGGTAAATGCAATCCAGAACGATGTTTCAGAATAAGTTGAAAAAAACTATAATCAGGTTTGTATGATAATACTTGAGGACCAAAGCCCAGTACTAGCTTCGACATCGCCTACATCTTCCTACATCTTATCGACCAACTGTCTCAACCTCAGTAATTAAACATCAAATCCATACTTGATTTATTTAACTAGATTCACACTACAGACACTATGTTCTTTTGCAATTTATACGGTTTCCTTTTGCCACAAACCACTCCTTCAAAACATTGTCTGAATGTAGATATTGTTCAAAACATATCCTTTCATTTCCATTTGAAGAATGTACATGTAAATTTCTTCTGATCAATGTCTAGTCTCTAGTGCCTTTTAAAATGATGCTCTTCTGTGTTATTTTGTGTTCAAATAAAGTGCCTATTGTCAGATGGGGGCATCAGTGTCCACTCATTTGTTAGTGTTTATCTCTAATTGGAGATTGATCACTTGGATTAGACAGATTAGATATTGGATTATATAGTTTACTGCTAAAATGCTCTGAAATAGGAATACTTTTTTTTTTTTTTTTAATGAAAGGCAGGGAAATTTGTACTGTTGGAGCATGCAGATAAAAAAAACCCAAATCCATGACCAGCGGCACACAGAAGGTGAAAAAGTTCATCCATTGAAATGACAACGTTTTCACAATATTATAGCAGCTGGTTCTAATTTTAACATATTCATATGGGACCCGGCTTCGCAAAACTATCCATGCAGCAGCTGTGGTCAGCTACAGACACCATAATGGTACCATAATCATGCGGCAACACATGCACATTGTGTGACTGGTTCTCCTTTCACCCTCAGCGGCTCCCTCTAGCTTTTATAATAACCAATGTGCATTTCATTACCTGGTCTAAAACATGACGCAGAGCTGAGGATCACCTTCAGTTTGTGTCTTACACCACACTCAAGAAGGAATTTTATGATCTGGGAACATTCTGTAATTTACAATAATTTCAGAGACTGTTGGTAATTTCTGCCCCATCAGACTCTAGGTCTGCAATTTGTCAAATCCTAACTATAATTTTGCAAAGACTGAGGTCTCCTGATAATTCTGACCCTGTGCAAACAGAGCTCTCAGTAGCTGTAGTCATACAGTCAACGGGGTTTTGGCCTGATATTTAAATCCTCATTTAGTTTGGCTGCAGGAGTGAGTGATTATGGAGGAAATAATTTATTCTACAGCACAAATCCTTTGAACCCTGGGGTTTTTCTGTGTTATGCCCTTTATTTTCAGGCTTATGGCAGTCACTACATGTATATTTAAAGTGGGCAAACTAAGGTATTGGTAATACTATGGCATCAGCTATAGA